CTAATCGCTCTAAGCTAAGAACGCACAATAAATGAAAAGTAATAGAAAATGATACTTCGAAAACCATTTCTAAAGTTTGTACTACGGAAAGCATACAGAATTGGATTCATGGCGGATGTAGCCATGAGTAAAAACCAGAGAATGTGATAGGCTACCTCGTTTGAGTCGTACTCTGTGTTCCGCTCTTTGCAAGCTAAGTACATAAAATGACTTCCAAGTGGAATGAAACAAACAAAAAATCCTGCTGTAACAGAAACGAAAGTTATTAGCAAATGCTTCTTCTCATCTTCGCCTTGGTTTTGCTGGGTTAATTCGGAACATACTGTGTTTGTGAAACAAAGTCCTTTTACCAAAGAGCTGTAACAAAAAACAAGGATCAAAAATGGTAGATAAACTGTCACGACTAGATTGCATATTACATAAACCCTGCTTTCAAAATTCATGTGGATCGTCCAAGGTCCGACGCATTGCAGCAAGTTGCTGTCCAATTCACGCAAGATAAAATCAGGTAGACATGCCAAAATACTGGAGAGCCATATGACTCCTATCACGAGCTTAATGTTCTCTACAGAAAGTCTTAAACCTGTGCGAAACGGCTTCATAATAGCATGATATCTTTCAATAGCAAGTGCCGTCAGGGTGAAACTTGAAATAACGTACAGGATGTCCAGTATTGATAAACCGGTAAATGTCTTGCAGAGAAAGTTTCCTATTTCTCCAGTTAGTGGTCTTTGTCGCCACCAGATTTGCCAGTGAAAAGGCCACAGGAGAAGAGTTAGGAAATCACTGATCGCTAAATTTACCAGCAAGAAATTTGTTGTCGAATGCATTGATCGAGTCGAACAAACAATGTAAATTACGAGGAGGTTTCCTACCATTCCAATGAGAATAAACGGGATCGATACCACTGCAAAAATAACATCTGATGCTTCGTATTCCGTCATGATAAATGGGATATTTGCGAGTAAGTGAAATGATTTAACGAGAGAATCGTCGTTGATTTAACAACTTTTCGTTTCATGCAAATCTGAATAAATTTCCGGGAGAACCGGCTCTAATGATTAAACAAAAAGGAGTGAAGAGATGAATTTAATTAGGCTTGCTTGGTTTAGTTGACTGCTTCCGATTACCTTTGTATTGCGGACATTTTCAATTACGGAGTTTTGTATTTGTTTCATATCACTTGTCGCAAGCATGAAAATTAACCTTCATCCACTGTTTGATCGACAAAAAAGAAATGGTAAAACAAGCAAACAAAAAGAGCTAAATTCCATGTAAGGGAGGAGAAAGATGACACTTTCAGCACTTTGCGGCGGTCCTTTAAGCCATACTTCTTTGTATCCTCCTCCCCAGGCTCTCTTTGTTGTCGAGTAAAGAGAGGAAAAGTAGAGAGCCTGAAAATGAATTTGGCCACTTTGCACAAAAAAAATGGGATTCACCTCGGTGTAACAACCTGTGAACTTCTTCTTTGTTTTGTACCTTTCGTTTTATTACGTACCATTGTATTAACTTCTTTGTTTTCTTTGTTCTACATCGACCGTGAGTTTTATATACTTCTTACACAGAGGATGAGCTAAGAAAATGACAATGGAAACATAACAGGTTCTCTAAGCAAGAAAATAACGATCTAAGCTCTTAAGTGTATGACTGCTATTCAGTAATACCGGGCTTTTTCAAAGTACGTTGAAACGAAAACCTCTATGGCTGTTCCTGAGGTTTGTTAAAAAATGAGCAAGGTACCAATTGGTGACAATTTTTGGCGTCGAGCTGTTCATTGCCATCTGTATAAAGAATTCTTTTTTGGATTCACATGCAATACAAACATTCGATTGGTAGTAAAACAAAAGAGAATAAACTATAGAACTGATGTTAAGCTAACTTTCTTTAGCAATTCTCAACCATTTCATATATACTGAACACCATCGTATGGTTGACTCCGTGGCGCAATGTTGGCGCGTCTGACTGACTCCAGATGAGTGCCCAGCTGTCAGAAGGCCGATTAGCTCTAACCCAGGGTTAAATCTTAATCCGGGCTTCTTTTTGTTTTGTTTAAAAGCATTTACTCGGATAATTTTCCCTATTCTTTTTGGAGCATCCAATCACCTAATTGCAGACCAAAAGAATTAAACTGAATTTGCTTTTTAAGCTTCTATCATAGTTATTAGAGGAGACTGGTTATGAAAAGCGGCAAACATCAATGATAAAAACAACAGTGCTGCAGTTTATGTTGGAAGCACCCTGAAAGTGCACAATCCTTTGTTTTCTGTTGGCAAATTGTTACGGAATAAATTAATGCAACGTTTTTATTGGTCAATACAATCAAAATGATAGGAATTCTTTTAAACGTTGTGCACTTTCAGGTCCACAAAAACATATAACAAAGGAGTTTGACGGGTTTCATAACCATTCCACTCAATTAACTATGCTTCTATGTATGAATTCAAAATTGGCACTAACGCTGGGTTATCTTAACCGTGCTTCGAACAACCCGGCCAAGAAGGCTGGGTGTTCAAATCATGTCGCGGTCAGCTTGATCTTTGTTATCACTAATATTTATTTTCAATTATCATTTTTTTTCCCTTTAATTTAGTATTGTTTTGTTTTCTTTTTGTTGTTGGTGTTGTTGTTGTTGTGGTGGTTGTTTTTTTTTTTGGCAACACAATTGTCCAAATTAACACCAGTGCATCATTTTTACTTGTAAAGCTGTAGCTTTTCCTTTAACCAAAAAATAAGTGAACGCTATCTCTTCAGTTTCAGACAAGACTATAAGACGTCGTTACAAACATGCCGTTTCACAATTTCGTGTGTTTGTAGCCATTGAATCAAACATGGCAAGTAATAAAACTGTTACAGTATGACAAGTATGAACACAGTTGACTCCGTGGCGCAATGGTAGCGCGTCTGACTCCAGATCAGAAGGCTGCGTGTTCAAATCACGTCGGGGTCAGCGATTCAATTTTTGTTCCTTTCTACAATAAAACCCTGACAAAACTAAATTTGACATTGGAAGGCTGTAATTTTTCTTTTAACACAGAAATAAGGGAACGCTCGTGATCCAGTTTCGTCACACTTTAAAAGACTGTAAGTGTTCGTGGCAAAGGCGTAGAGTTTTAGATTTTCAAGTATTACGAGAGCTAGTTATAAAAACATGAAATGCAATTTCAACTTTCAGTTCGAGCCATTGGACGAAATCCTATGGTGTTATAATTCAAACGAAACCTTAACAGCGGTACTTTTTAATGACGCTACTTGTAGCACCACAGTTAGTGACTGCTATCTAAAGGTAGCACTCTATTTGAGCCACCCTCGAAAGTCAAAAGGGGCGAATGGTACTTAAATTAAAGCGACATCACCGGAAGGGTTCAGCATATTTTCAATACAAAATTTCATGAGGTTAATATTTTCAGCCATCGCTTTTAGTCCTTCTTTCCCTCTTAATTTAAAGATAGATCCTACTGATAAGACACTATCTTGGGAGTCCATACCCTGGGTGCCAGAGGCTTTCCATGCGCGGTTTCCGGTCAAGTCTTAAAAAGTTTTTTTTTTTCTCGCGGCTTCGCCGCTCGTGTCTTCGGCCTGCGGCTGACGAAGCTCCTCGTCGAACGCGAGAAAAAACCTCTGGTACGCGGGGTAGGGAGTCCAAGGCAAGTACAGTCAAACCCTGTTAATACAGAAACTGAAGGTACCGAAGAAAGTGTCCGTATTAACGGGGTGCCCGTATTAGGCAGGTCATGATATTAAAGTCAAAAAGCACATTTTATTTGAACAAAATAATAAAGTAATAAAGCAAGGCTCTAGCATCGTCAAATGAAACATCTCTCACCTTCACAAAGCCGTCATTCCGGGGGTTAAACTCACGGAAACACTCAAAAATCATATTATATAATCAAATATATATTACTTTATCAAAACCGTTCTCTGTATGAATCGTTTGATGTAAAAATAAGTCTGAAATGGACGTCTACAAATCAACTTATATGGTGATCGGCTTTCCACGAAAATCTGTTGATTGCGCAAGAAATAAGTGTCCTTTGTCCGTCCGTATTTTAAAGCGGGCTGAAACAAAAGAAAACGTAAGGGCTTTCTTCTCCAAAGGACAAAGGAAACTGCCCGTAATAGCGAGGTGTCCAGCCTCCTCCTCAGGCGCTTCGTTTTTCTCTTGGCAGAGGCGAGCGCGAAACGCGAGTGACTGGTGATGAACTGCAAGGGACCATGGGAAGGGTACAGACGGCAGGCAAAGCCCGTTGTCTCCTTCCCGCCTTCCTTTGCGCGCACATTTTCATGGAAGGAGAGACGTCTGGGTATGAGGCAGCGAGGTGTCCGTATTAAGCGGGTGTCCGTAAAGCGGGGTTTGACTGTAATCACCATTCTCGTGGTTAACGGGAGAAAATGCTTAGACAGCTGCCGCGCATGCGTCACACGTGCCTGATTTGACTGGGGAGATCGATCCGAGAAAAAAAAAAAAAAAGGTTTTGTGCAAAAGAAGGCAAAGAGCCATTAATCGATTGCTTTACTCATGAACAGGATGTATGGTCTGGCAGTTTTATTCACAAAACGGTCAAAATATACTCTGCGGTAAACCTCCTTATAGCCTATAGCAGAAGATGATCCCCCCACGTCCCCCCATCCTCCCCGCCCCTGTGCTCCCTTGTCCAGCCGACTCGGCTGTAGTTCATACTTTAACGAATTCACGGATACTGCTGGGAACAACTCTCTCTACGTTAGACATCTACGTTAGACATCGCAACAACCATTTTTTTTCCCTTAACAGCGATAATTATTTTTTCTTTTCTTTTTTCTTTTCTTACCCAGAAATAGCTTAGTACACCCATAAAGAAGTCTGTTGCTTTAACTTTATCGTCACCATTATCGCCTCGCGTATAATAAAATAAGTTCACGACAATATAGTTTAGCTTTCAAATTTTTCATTTTTTTAAAATCGATAATTCTACGAATTAATACAATATATATGTATTTATCGAACTACATATCGCTCTAACTGCCTACCTACGTGTCTACAGCCATTACGACGAGCAGCTGACTCGAAGCTGAGATGCCCAGAGCGGGGGCTGGGACGAGTACCCACGAACTTCAGCGACCACCTGGAATAAAAGAAAATTCCCAAATGACTGTGCCTCATGCGTACCAATTGCAAAGAATAACAGGCCTAGGCCAAACGTAAATTAAGTTAAGATCGTCTGTTGGGCCAGACGTCGAACTTAGGACACGTCGAACCAATCAATTGAATCCGACCAAAAAGCAATTTTGGCCGGCCAGCGTGCGTTCAGTAATAAATTTTCTCTCGAACGAGGCTAAATATACATTATTATACAAATTTTTAATACATCAGTCTAGTTCATCTAATGTAAAGTTCGACGTTTGTCCCGGAGACGATCTTCAGACGTTCTATACGTCTGAAGGAGACGGATAGGACATGATGGACGATCCAAACTCATTCAGACGAACTTAACTGAGTCAGACGTCGAACTTTTCATTAACTTAACTCACTAAAATTGCCGGTTCGTCTCATGAAAATTTCGACGTTTGAGCTAGGCCTCACTCTCCTTTAAGTTAATGAACGATTGAAAATTTCTCGAGGGGTGGGGGATTAACGTTTCACTGCAGCCCACAAAGAAAAGTCGTCTTAACTAATTTACTCTGCAGCTTACTTGTTTATTAAAAGGTCTCGTTAAAACTTCAAGAAGCAGCTGAACCTTCAAGAAAAAAAGTTTATTAAATTAAGTTACAATAATGGCTTGAAAATACATAACAACAACATATAGTCACAAAAAGACTAAAGCTCAAGGTCGACACTTGCGAAGGTGCGCAGTGCGCAGGGCCGCCAACAAGACCCGGTGGGACAAGATCAGAAATTATAAGAAGATCAGAGAAGTGGTAGGATCGAAATCGATATAACACCACATAGAAAAACAGAGAATTCTAAATGGGTCAGGCAAATAACAAGAATTAACACCAGCCAGCTTGCGAAGCAAGTATACAACACTATGCTGTAAAGCTATAACTGAAATAAAAGGATGCGCAAGCAAGACCAGGATTAGGGGCGTCAAAGACAGCCCGACTGGGGGAAGAAAACTTCAATTCGCCGCGACACATCTGGTATAAGCTGTTAGCCAAAGTAAAGTTAGTTAGCAAGTAATGTTTTGAGCCCTTCAATTACTTTCTTTTATCCTCTGGGCCTCGACAAGTGTACAACTTGTTCAACTACAAATTAAAGATATTCTAAAGATGTACCAATTAAGCCAATCGAAAGACAGTCTTCATTGTAACAAACACACACAAAAAAAAACTCAAAAATTTCTAACCTCTGAAAAATCATTCTCCTCTGCTTTTTGTATCGCTGATTGAGCCATCCAATTGCGCAGTACATAACGAGGATTTATTTCTGAAATGAGAATGGGCCACGTTAAAGAGATTTTCAACAGCAAGCCATGAGATCAACCGCATTAACTAACTTCACTACCTTCCAGTGCAGCCTTAGCTTTATGAAGTTACGTTTTCAGTATTCAAAGTTTGCTAAAACGATGCGAGATAGAGACGGTTCTTTCGATATTCAACTTCATGGTGAGGTCAGAAGGATAAAAAAAATGGATTTTCAATGTTTGGGTCCTGTAAGCCTCGCTATAAAAGCTGACTTTTGACCTGTCTAAAGAAGCGTATTGAAAGGATAAAAATAATGACTGGAGCGTACTTAACATCCGTTGACTCCTCTTTTTTTCAGAATCCAGATCACCATTTCTAATTAAAAGAAAGAGAGAATTTCAATAATAACGAGCTTTGCGCATTTTTGCCTGTTAGTTAGTATTTCCTTTCAGCATCAAAATCCCGCGCGAGACGATTTGTGATAAAGCAAAATGAGTGCCATTAAAGGAAGCCTCCATCACCTCACTTTCACGCGTGCGTGGTTAACGTGTCTGTAAGATTGAAACTGCTTCAATTTGGTAAATGTTAACGAAATGCTATTCAGCGATATGTATCCAATATTTCGAAAAACCTTTACCTCAACTAGAGAAAAAAATCAAACAGAAAAACCGAAGACAATCCAAACCTTCATTTTGCAAAATATCATTTATGTACCGAAGCAGAAGGCCATAACCTGGTCGGGAGTGAGCAACTTTCATGTACTCGTGCTGCGGCGTTTTCACAGGCACGTTTAGTTTACAAAGGATTTTGGCGCGGATTTAGTTCATCATCACAAACCAGTCAGCAAAACCTACAGACCTAAAACTGGTATTTTAATTCTTTAATTGTGATTAGTATGCCCTTTTTATAACTAATACTTCAAACGCGCTCACAAACGAAGGGGAGCTTCCATTTCCGAGGGGAAAAGCGTTCTTAATTGTAGCTAAAAAACTCTGCGATAGAAGCCGAGGAAGGCAGTTGCTTGCTACAGGGTATGGGCTCCTGTTCACCGGGGCAATAAGAAAAATTAAAATATACCGGATACGTAAAGTTCTAGTGACAGGCTTTCGTTTGTTAAGTGCACAATTAAATGTAAAGCGATTGTGAACGATCAGCATCTTACGATTTCTTTTAGCTCTGCAATTGAAAAAAATACAGCAACTTGCGTGTAAAAGTAAGGGAAAAATACACGCATCTTGCGTGTAATTTAAGCTACGTGTAAATGTTCACATGCGATTAAAAAATTTACACGCGTGTATTTTGCGTGTAAATCCGCATTGTTACACGCAATTTACACGCGTGTAAATGCTGCAATTCCCATGGCCTGTACTGTACATTGCACAATATTGCTTCTTTCCGTTTCAACAGAGGCTAAGCCCGTATTCAAAACTTTTCAAACAGGACCGACGAGGACTCTTTCAGACTTTCTTTCTTTAGTTCCTAGGATTTTGTATGTGACATTGAAAGCAAAATGATTCACCAGAGATGATAAGAAGTAAACGAAACACTTTTTCTTACAATTGAAGTCTATCAGAATAACGGGCTAACCAGCCTCTCCAGTTCTTGTGTTTGGTTAGATTCTTCAGCGCCCACGATTCAAAGGGAAGGCGGTTTGCTATCAAGTCTTGTATGGATATTTCACTTAACTCGCGGAAAGTCATTGTGAAGTCCGCACGAGTGGTCGACATTAACTGAAATTAAGATAAATGCATGGAGTTAATGATATTTATTACAATAAATAACAAAAAATATATTGATTTAAAAATAACTGAAGAGAAACGAAACAGTTCACGAAAAATTCATGGGAACATCAATTTTGGCATCTCAGCATCCCTGAAATCTAAATCCATGATCAATTATCTAAGGTATTTTTGTGTAAACTCAGTGCACTATCCGTCCTTAGTCAAAAACAGTTATTAGGTATCGGCCTTTAACATTACCCCTCTGTATATATGCTTGCCCGCACACGACAATCAGCCCGATTGCAGGCGTGTAGAAATAGCCGGAGCTGTTCTCACCGCGAGACGCGGGAATGTTTTTACACATATTTTTCACCCAATATCCCTTCGTTCGTATTATCCAGAGGCAACAGCAGCCGCAGTAGCTTTGTAGAAATAACTCGGATAGGTTTCAAAAGTTATCGCTACGTTTATAACTTCTTAATTCCGTTACTACAGATAACAGACTGCATTTTAAAAACTCATGGTAATCCTTACCCACAGCAAAGAATGAATGAGCTTTTCGTCGCTGTCTACAACCTCAAGCAGACCCAACTTTTGACGAAAAATGTCCAAAAATCTGAAAAACGCGTTTTTATTTCAGAAAATTGCCTATCACTAGGCTAAAGAACCAAAAGTGAACATTCCTACCAACTGAAGGCGAGTTAGTTTGTCAATAACAATTGCCTATTAAAGGGACGCTATTTGCTAGCTTTCTATTAAGCTAAAACTTCTTTTCGCATCAATTGAATTCCAAAAAATAATGGCCTAGTTTTGTTATTTCAAACTGTTTACTGTCGTCTGTTGCCAGGCATGGCAGGAATGGGTCAACTTATTCAAGTTTTAATTTAAAGCAGTTTGCCCGAAACAAATCACCATTAAAAATTTATTATGTTTAGTATTCCCTGATGAAATCTATTTGTTACCTCGTCCGTAACTCTATAGGAGCATTTTGTGTCTGGGTAAAGGCACCAAGTAACAGCTTTAGCACAGAAGTGATCTAAAACAGCCATATCCTCGTGACAGCCATGGACCTTTCACTGATCAGGCCAACCTTTTATAGCTACCATGCAGCTCGGTCAATTATATGGAGCTTAAGCAACCACAACGGCAACGGCAGCGAAAACCTCACCCAAAAAGTGAATTCGCGCTGCTTCAAACTTCATCGCTGCATATATTTTAATTTTTCAAACGTTAGCGATATTTTCAGGAGTTGAATTTTAAGGGCTGTTTCTAACAAAAAGAAAGAGGAAATGGTTGTCATGGTTGTCAAAAGCGTGATGAACGTGCAAAGTTGTTGTTTTGCCAATCAAAACATACCTTATTATAGGAAATTAACGCTCCATGAAATTAACGCGAATCGTTAAAATTCGCGTTAATTTTGTTGAGCGTTAATTTCCGCGACGTTAATTAAGTGCAGCGCTAATTTCTGCGCTCTTAATTTCCAGTATTTTATCCCCAATTTTGGAGCCTGTCCAGACATTCTTGACACCTTAAAAACATTACCTACAAGCTTTCTTTCTTTCCATTTACCCTTTATTTTTCATCTTTCACAAAAGCTAAGGCGAAGGTTTACAATATGTGTTAAATTTGTTTCCAGTTGTCACCACCAACTGTGTCTGAATCGCGTTAATTTCCTTTATTATGAAATTCTACCTCCTCTTTCGCATTAATTTTCTTTATTCGAAAGTCGATTTCCATTAAATTCGCGTTAATTTAAGTCGCGTTAATTTCTAATACCTTAATTTCATGGAGCGTTAATTTCCTATAATATTGTATTGCTTTTTTGCCGTCGCCGTTGCTTAAGCGGTTCCCTATAGGGAGTTTTAGCAACGACGACGGCGACGGAAACAAGAGCGTCAAAACAGCAATGGATTTATTAAGTAAAACAACGAGTTTGCACGCGCATCACGCTTTTTTGTACATTTACTGCCGTCACTGCACGACTACGACGTGAAAATGCCTATTTTCATGTTCTGAGGAGGACGTAAACAGGCGACGACGAATTTTTCTTTCTCTTTCTAACCTTGAGTGCGGTCACCAAGAAATAAACGACAGGAAAATTTGGCTACATTAGACATTTTCAGCAAATTGGAACAAACGCGACAAAGTTTGAACACGCTAATTCGTCGCTGTCGTCGACGATGCCAAAACTCCCCAATGTCGATGTCAAGAAATAAAACTATGATTACCTTTCATTATAAAAGTCCACGTAACTTAAGAGGATTTTCTCTCCACTGCAAAATATATAAAGTGACAGTTAAAGAAAAAAAGCTACATGTATGATGACCACATGATTTACTAGTTAGTAAGCTGAACTTCATATATATGTCGCGTATCTCCCAGTGAATTCGCAGACTTTTGAGGGCGGATAATGAACCAATGAGGAGTCGTGTTCCCGTTTATTGAAAGTTAAATCGTACCCACGGTACGTTTTTACTTTCACAATCGCTCTAGAATATTTGATTGAAGACGGTCGGAGAGCATGCTTAATGACAAAAAACAGGAAAAATACGCGACTTTTTTACTAAAAAGGGAGGGAAGAAGAGGGGCGGGGCGGGTTTTGTGCATTAAGTCGACCTTATCGTATAAAAAAATGTAGAAAGGGCACTTAGCAGACAAGAAACACATTAATCATTATAATATAATAAATAAAAGATAGGTTTCCTTAACCAATAATAAAAACAAAGCTTATCCAGCTTACGCGCTGTAATCTTCTAGTAATGGCTTGATGGCACGAAGTAATTTCTCCAAATTAAAAAATCCAACATCGGGTTGATTCTTGTAACTGTATCTTTGCTCCTCGTCTGATGTGTTGGGAACGAAATCTGCCGTGGGTAAATCCGACTGATTACTTTTTAAGAATAAATTTGTTAGCAAGACGACTAACTGTAAACCTTACAACAAAAATACAGTCGCTAAGCGACTTATAAGCCACGCAAACGACTTCCTATGCCAGGGAAAAAACTCTGCTCGCAGATACGGTGACGATGGAAATCGTGTGATAAAGAAACAGCAGCAAGAAAAAGCTCATTGATAATCTGTCGTTTTCAATTTTTAACTAGGGCATAACGCAACGTGTTTGTCGAACACAGGTTTGGTTTTGTAAAAATGTTTATCCTATACAAGCAAGGATTCAGAGACCAGTAACCGGGAGTAGAAAGTAAGGACAGGCGTCACCTTTCTAAAGAAAACTTTCGCTATAAAACAGACATATTTGGGAACCGGCACTGTGTCCGAAATACAGAGATGTCCGTAACATAGAGAGTCAAATAAATGGAGTAAAGAAAGGCAGGAAACAACTAAAGATGTCCGCCAAAAGGAGTAAAGAAAGGCAGGGACCACCTCTAAATCTCCGTTTTATGGAGTTTTCTGTCATATAGAGAGTCTACCACAGGGGGTAAAGAACGGCAGGGACCACCTTTAAATGTACGGTTTTAGCGAGTTACCTGTTATATAGAGAGTCAACTAAAAGGCGTAAAGAACGGCAGCGACCAACTCTTTGTCCGTTTTAACGAAGTGTCCGTTAAGAAAGAGTTAACTGTATCACAAGGGAAGGAGGGTGGGTTGAGGAAGCTTTTTGAACAGCGGCTCATCTATGTACGTGAGTATACCTGGATTAAACTCGTCCATGAATCCAAACGGGCCATAGTCTATTGTGATGGATAGGAGGCTGAAATTATCCGTGTTACAGACACCTACAAGAAATAAAAACAAAACACATGAATTCCCGAAACATTCAAACAAAATCGTTCGTGCAGGGCGTCAATGTAGTACAAGATGCTCGTCGTCACTATCTTTTTCATATGAAGAGTCTATAAAATGGCTAATATCATGTTATTTTTTTGTGCTTGAGGAACACCCACAGTTTTGAGAAGTTAACCGTTCTGAGGGCTTTCGAAGCTCAGGGTTAAATGCAAGCAATTTTACGGATGATGATAAGGTAGAGAGCAAGTTTTACTGAAGTGAACCTGGCAAATCATGCAATCATAACGCAATCAGCCATCGTACGGCCCTTGCTTTGATGCAGTGATCTCATGGTTCTTGGTGCCTCAGAAAAAACCAGGGAAACGAACGAAACCCAACGTAGAAAAAAATAGAAGGTTACCGGTCGTTTCGATACAAAGTAGTTTGGAAACTAGTCGAAGTTTTTGTGTAATTTCACTGCTTGAGTTTGTAATGAAACGACTTTGTGTCCAAACGACCGGTTTCTAAGGTGGTTGAACCTTTTCCAACTGCTGTAACTCACCATGAGCAAACCCAACTCCCTGCCACTTGGCGATAAGTTCTGCCGTCATCGACACCACTTTCGAAAAGAATTCCTACCAACCAAATAATAAACAATTGCAATATTGTATTTCAAGTCTGTAGAATGTGCATGTCAGGGCTGTCACAAAGGACCAGGGACCAGGCATTTGCCCCGGCTTCTATGAGCATGACCACTGGCTACTTTTGAGGAAAAAAGAAGGGAAAACAAAACCTAAAGAACTTCCTGGCTGCTCAATTCCCCACGTACTACAGTCGAAACTTCACTAACGGCCACCTCTCTAAAACGTGCAGTTTCTTTCTGGCGGACCCCAGTCCATGCATGGACTCTTACATACTAGGGAGCTTAAGCAACGACGACGGCGACGTCAACGAGAACGGCAAAAAAGCAATCGGTTTATATTAGCAAAACAACAACTTTGTACGTGCACCACGCTTTTTTGTATATTTCTTTACCGTCGTTACAGGACTCCGACGTGGAAATGCCTAATTTCACCTTTTGTGGAGACAAGGCAACGACTTTCTTCTTCTTTTTCTGAACTTCGATAAAGTCTTTTAGAACTCAATTGCAGAAACAATTGCCAACATTTGACGAATGGAATGAGATAGAATAAGCGCGATTAAGTTTGAAACAGCGCAAGCGCAACTACACTTTTTAAGTGACGTTTTCGTAGCCATCGCCGTCGTTTTTGTTTAAGCTCCCTAGTTCTTTAAGACGGCCACCTCTTCATGTTTACAACGGCCACTTTCTTCCGTCCCCAAGGTGGCTGTTGTGGAGAGGTTCAACCTAATACTACTACATGAGAAATTTCTGCAATTTGATTGGCTTAGAGCAGTGGTATTTCAGCTTAATTTGAAATACCTACATGTGAAAATTACAAACCTTTTGCTGGTAGTAGTATAAACAAATAATAGCATGATTTGTACGTGATATTTGGCGTAAATGAAACTCGTGATATTTCAAAATTGTCTCAAATTTCACTCACCTATCGGCTCGTGAAATTACATGTAACAATTTTGAAATATCACTGTGGTATTTACACCCAATATCACTACAAATCATGGTATTACCTATACTAATCGCACACATCCAGCCAAGCAAGACTTTATTGCTCTCTTACCAGGTATTTATCAGTCTTCTTCGATAACTCTGGAAAGTGTTCCTCGATTACAAAGTCCACAACGTTTCTTAAAGAAAACAAAAAAGGACGCATTCAAGAAATAACCGTTAACACTAAAAGCAAGAAAAGCAACTGTAATCCTTGTCGTAAATTCTTCATATAACTAACAAATCAAATGGAACTTCACCTCAGAATGTCTTCTTCGCCATTGGATGCCAAAATTTCAAGAGAGCCAATCCTAAACCAAGATTTTGCCAAACGTAGAACAATTGCAGCTGTGTGTTACAGAAAAAAATGATCACTAATCTGTTTTCTTTGTTTCCACCGCCCCTTTAAAGCTACTGTCATGTTGAACAACTGAAACAAGGTGGAGAAGGTACATGTAGGAGGGAGTAGTATTGGTTTAGAATATTTCATCACATGTACAGTCTGTACTACGTATCACATAATTATCACAATTACCTTACATAACATGATTGTCAAATTATGGATTGCTGTCTACAAGACATACTATTTCTGATATGACAGTATTTCTTTCTTGAACGATAATTTCCTTTGGCAAAATTTTAAAGAAATATGATATTTTTAAGTCATACTATTTATGACATATGATGTCCAGTATTTCTTTCTTGAACAATAATTTTCTTTGGCAAAATTTTTAAGCGATAATTGTTTTTCAGTATAGTTAGTAGAGGCTATTGTATTGGCAGGAATACTTTGATTGAAAGAGAAAATTTGTAAAAATGAAGCCCAATTAATGATTTTTCACCCCACAGTTCTAATATATTTTATTCCTCTATAATGATATTATTACAAAATTTAACATTCCTATTATAAATATGACTTTATGAAATACTGTTACCTTTCTCTCGCATAGGGTGTCCGTCATAAAACTGATCTCTCCATACTCTATCCTCACTCACAACAATGCTGGCCGCTCTACTTGTGGGCACACCCAAATGGAACATGGCCTCGCTAGCAAGGAACTCCCGCACAGACGATCTTAAGACTGCTCGACCATCACCATGCCTGAATGAAACAAAGAGGTACTGGAAAGGCAACTGAAGCTTAATTAATGCATTAAAGTAACAACTTCATATCATAAGATCAATGTTATTTCTGATTTAAGCTCATGATTCTTGTTAGCCTCCCTTTTTGAGAGGGTCCATAAAAAATGAAATTCCTATAATGATGATATCAGCTAGTAACAAGTATTAAGGTGGCTGAACACAGTCTGATAGGTTATGGATCATTATTAACCATTTAATTAGATGTTATTAAAGACCCATCACAGGTATTAAGCAGACAAAGGCTGTTATATTTATAAGACATGACATTTATTAGGTTTAAAGTGAGACATGGATAATTGTCAATTGGCAACATGGATGATTTAAAACAAGCCTTAAATATTTTTGAATTTGTTAAGTTTTGCAAACCCCAGTCAGTAGAATTTCTTATAAATTTGCACACAGCTTACAATTATTTTCTCTTCACTAATAAATAAACACGACCCAAAAAAGTATGTTATCGACAGTTAATTTTTAAGTGTAAAGCTTAAGCACTAGCTGTAACAATACCTTGAGTATGGAGTTTTGCCAGAGCCCTTCAACTGAAGTTCCCACCTCTCACCTTTTCTAAACAATAAAAATATGACACTGTGTGCAATAATTGTTGTTACATGGTAAAGGTTGACATTTTATCTCTACCATATAATAATGTTAATTATTATACAGCATTATCAGCCAGTCATTGGCAGCCACAGACAGCTTGGTTTTGCCTCTATATTGAAGATTTACCATGGCATAGCTTCAAGCAGCAAGCGAGGTCTTAAGATTGTTGGCAGCAAATGCCATAAAATGTTAAGATCTTTGTAATGTATTAAGCAACGTACCACCAGCTCCAAACTAGGTATGTGATAGCTGTTGCTCTGCACAGCTGGTGCCAAGTATACATACCCTGCAATGCTAGCTGTTTTATGGTGCTTTATTAGGCCGAACCTACAGCTGTATTTATTACCTGTTGATGTACTCTCCCAGCAGTACTGCCCGCCCATCCCCAAGTTGATCCGCCCATTCACCAAACTAAAAACAAATAAGAGGGTCACCAATAATCTTAATTTTAAGTAATAGAGCATATATTGAGCTGAAACTGACCAGTCATTGATAAAGGTGAGTAAGTGCCAGCAAATGTACACAGTTTGGACCATATTTACAAAGAGGTGTCCAGCCTATAGAAAATCAAAGAAGGTGTCTACAAAATGGGAAGGATCAATTCTCCCATGGAGCAGATTTTCAAGTGGAGAAGTGGGGGGGGGGGGAACTAATGCAAATGTGTAAGCGTGAGCAAACTAGAGGGATCTGGGGGTATGCTCTCCCGAGAAAATTTTAAATTTAAGTCTTCTGAAATGGCTATAAATACATCTAAACCTGCCAATAGTAATACAAATTTGTTAATTATTACATCGGCACTTAAATCAACAAGTTACAACCTAGCCCCCACATTAGACTGAAATTTAAACGAATAGACTTTGACGCTAAACCCAACACACGCGACGGTTGAGTGTCAGCCGGACATTTTTAAGTCGGATTCTCTGAAGGTGCCAAAGTTGCCCTTCCGATTGTCATTAGGAACTACCAACTAATTGGCAACAGCTACAAGACAAAGTAAGTTTGTCTGCTCTCTGTTTGTGGTGTGTTTTGTTTGTGTGGTAAGTGACAGATCTGGGTAACCAAAGTTAAAAAAAAACCTATCTTACCATCCGAAAAAGTGGGCGGGGACGGGGGGGGGGGGGGGGGGGCTACAGACTGACAACCCTACCCCCTGCATGGTCCCTGACTCTAGATGTCAGTTTAATTTAGGGAGTTGTGACACTCCATCTCACTGGCTGTTTGTTTTCAAGTCTAGTCTTCTGGTTACTGATTGTAGCTCTATACATGTAGCAACACAAAATATGGTATGGAAGTAACTTAAAGTGCACACATCATCTACATGTACAGTTGAACCCTACTTTACAGATGCCTGTGTAATATGGACACCAGCTGTTATTAAGGACAGTTTGAAATCTTCATCCAGCAGGAAAGCCCTAACATTTTCTCCAATTTAACCCCCTTAATATGAATACCACTAAGCATACAAGAGACACTTGAACCTTGCCCAATAAACAGATTCTCATAGAAACTTAACCTTGCTAAAGTAACATCATGAAAAACAGGATGCTGTGTGGGGTTCAGCTGTACACTTAACCCTTTAAGTCTCAATGGTGACTAACATAAATTTTCTCCTAACGATATCCATACATTGTCAAGAGATTATGTTATGAGAATTAATAAAATGATCACCAAAGAGATAATGCCTTGATCTTTTATCAAATTCTCTCAACACATTCTTTATGGAAATGTATAGAGATCAGTTTGGAGAAATTGTATGTGGATATTGGGGCTTAAAGGGTTAAGTACATTGATAGTGGCTCCCTACCTGATGTCCTCCGTATCTGTGGGATAATAAAGCAGAGTTTGGCAGTATCAGATTTCCTGCTACAAATTCTGAAAAAGCTGACGATTCGGCAGCCGCAGCTGTCCTCAAATCGAGTATTTCTGTTAGCACGTGGCTTGAGATCGCTACAAGGGAAGGTTTATGTCTAAACGGAACAGGATAGACTGTAGAAAACACCACATTATGCACTTGTCTAACAAAGTTTTTCGTTTCCTGATCAACAGGAAAAGTCTGCCGCAAAACGCTTATGGGTATGAAGGCCCAGTCTTCAAAATTCAATAAGTCTGTTATCCTACAAATCTGCTGGCTTAATTGTGTGTAACTGTTTCTGCAAACAGAGTAGTTTCCTTGCGAGATGCAGTGGCGTTTCCATAATTTTTCATGTTGAATGCTACATATGGAGGCTTGTGGCAAAAGAATAACAAACAGCGTTACCAAAAAGAACAAGTCGTCCGCCATGTTCATAGCTATGCAACCAGGCCTGCCTTTGAAATATGCGCTCGCGCATGGTTGGTTTGTTCTCGCGCTATGTGCTGTTAGATTCTAGAGATTATTCCTTTCAGATTCATCCCACGTCCACTAGCCTGCGAACGGCAGACGTTTCTCCTCGCTCATAGCCGCTGACGGATGTTTTCCTCCTCGCGAAACGTCCCTCTGCGGCGATAAGCGAGGAGATACGTCTGCCGTTCGCAGGCTACACGTCCACTGACGTACGCGGCCAGAGCCGCATTATGTTTGAAAAACAGCAGACGATGACAATGCCGCCAGTGGGAAAGCAAATCAATAAAATGACATTGAGACAGTTTTTAGTTTATTTACTTTTTTATAGACTTTTTTTCAGTTTCCTTTTCCGCCTGAGACAGACAAACTGACCGTGTAAGACCACGTAGTTACTAAAATAAGGAATGACCAACAATCAGCTACAATATATAATGATCTACCGCATGACCTACAATAAGCTACAACTACAATGTCCTACAAAGGGCTACAAAAATGACAGACAATGATGTATGTCATGTGGCCCCAGATTTTTTTACCCTAACGTGGCACAAACATCATGCTTGGACGTGAAACTTGGCTCATGTTTTCGGAAGAAACTTGCCAAGCACATTTTGAATTAGGCAAAACAGAAATGGCGCCCGATTTCGGGTAACTAAAGAAAAGGCAGGTTTTCAATCAAAATAATTTGTAACCGCGTTTTTAGGTGACATTCGGCCATGTATTAACGAATCACTACAAAAAAGAATTTTAGCTATCTGAATTCACGAAAATCACGCAGGAAAAAGGAGTTATAACTCAATACTTATGCATTATCCTTGCAGCGCAAATTTTAATCTGCGCTTGCCCTTGAGCAAATCTGTTGCTCGAACAATCAAAACTCCTACATGTCGCTCAGGAAAGTCAATACCCTTTATAAGGTGGAGAATGACTCAAAATTAAACTTGACTGTTGTCAAGCAAATTTCATCGTTTAATGCATTTTTATTAAATTCATCGACAAGCGTAATGAATATTAGGCTCTTGAGTTGGTGTCATCATTTGGGCAGTTAAGCAGCAGACTAAAAGTGCACCCTCTAAAACTGTTACGTTAAAACACACATCTACTACCGCCACTTGACAAACCTGTCCCCCTGATCTTTTTTCTGTCTTTTTCATATCTTCATTTTTGCTCATTGCAGCGAACCTCACCTTATTTTTTAGGTCCCCACGTTCGATCATTGCCGGGTCGGTCATTGTAGCTTATTGTAGCTCATTGTAGCTCATATTGTAGCTCATTCAGAGGGTTATTGTAGCTCATCAGTGTAGCTCATTGCAGGTCACCTCTTGTTTTGGTAACCACGTATAAGACCACTTCCCTGTTGCAAAACTATTTCTAACCCATCCCGACCCTTCTCTCCTTTCTTGATGGACATGTTATGTATTCAAATAACATAGAACATTACTTATCGCCATGATAATCTCGGGAACTCATTGTCCTCGAGGGACCTTTTCAAATTAAACCAGTCGGCATGTAAAGACTTTTTATATGATTGAAAACCTCCTTTCTTCAAAGTCAAAGTGAAACTTTCCGACGGTAATAAAGCTAAAGTTAAGTATTATAGGGTTGAACATTTTAATCTTGATTATGACTCAGTACTTGAAACAATTACAATTCTGGCAGTCTACTGAATCTACTGTATTAAGACAAATAAATTAAACTCGGACATAAGAACAGCGGCCACGGTTGGACTGAAATAGCGCTTTCCTCAACGAGCATTTAACTTTATGCCAAATGAATTATAAAATTAATGTTCATGGTGAATGGTCGGAGCTGCTGATAAAGTTGATCCGCGTCGCATTATGGGGTACCAACGCAACCGAATAAATTTTAGCGCTCACGGCAACAAAAAAAAAGCAACGAAGCACTCTATCCACCAAGAGTCACTATGTCAATACTTCCAAAAGGAGCATGAGGCAAACGTACTTCCTCAATTGAGATCTCTGCATCCGCAAGTACATTGACAGTCAGTTTTTCTCATCATGGATGATGCAAACAGCCTGCTGACCGACAAACGTTTTCCTTGGTTTTGAGCGCACAGCATTAGTTATTGTCGGAACATAAAAGTATATTAGTTTCCTTAGCCTGAGAACGCAGAAGTATTTTAAGCCGTCGCTTTTCTCCAGCCAATGAAGTTAACAACTGATGCTTGCCATGAAATATTCAAATGAGAAACTTTCAGCTTGCAAGTGCTCCCTCTTCAAAAGTATAACTTACGTCGAACCTTAAAATCATAAAGCTGCGGGTGTGTTGTATTGCCCAACGCAAAACTGAATATATAATTTTCTAATAGTTTTAGTAAAGCAATTGCGCTTACTCAGTCGGTTTATGTGTGGATTGTAGAGGCAGGTCGAGGTATAAATTCCGGCCGCTCGGGCAAGACCTATAGTCTGAATCTTTTGGTAACTTAAGTTTGTCTGACGTTCTAACCGTCTGCCTCACACGGATAGAACATCTGAAGATCGTCCACCGGGACCGAAATGTCTATCTCTTCATATAAGACGAACTTAAGTAAGAAATTAAAAATTTGTATGAAAATGTAAATTAAGCCTCGTTCGGGAGAAAATTTTTTACTGATACGATTCAGTTCTCTCTCGGGTTCAACCCGTCCTTAGGTTCGACGTATGTCCCAACAGACGATCTTAACTTAATATATCGACCCAAATTAGACTTTGATTCGTCTCGTGAAAAATCGACGTTTGGCCGAAGCGTTAGAAATGAAAGCATGCACTGCGTTTAATTTGCTCTCCAAACAGATGAACCTTTTCGCGTAAATGTGAAAATAGTCCGTGCTTGACTCTAGTCGGGGGTACTTTTCTCTCTAATACATTCACACTGATTGTAGTTTTAAAGAAAAAACCGCGGAAACTCTCTTTTTGCAATGTTTTGCATTAAAACTAACTTTTAATTTCGCAAGAAAAGTCTTACTTTTTTATTGTCACTGACATAAATTGTCTTGGCTAATTTGTAATTTTATACTTGCGAAAAACAGCTTTTGTGTTTACTTAGTAAGTCCAGTTATCTCTAAACTAAGATTTGAAGTCAGATAATAGGCAACGCGTTCAAATATAGGGCTCTTTCGAGTATTCACAGTGGCTTTGAATTCATTATCGGGCCTAGAGGACAAAAGCAATTTAAATTAAAGAAAACACTTGAACTTTTGTTCTCGGTAAATTTGAACTTTAATATATCGAAAGAAGCTTATTGGCCAAAAACCAAGAAACTGGCAGGTGAAATTTGTCAGTTCTTAGTGCTTCTACATTTTATCAAGCTGTTTGCGAAGCTAACAACAGATAAGAGAAAAATATAGCTAACCAACATGGACCTTGATATTGAAAGATTTTCCTTTGCTCTTTCTCTGACTTCTATTCCATTTTATATCACTGGATTCATTGGGAACGTGTTGGTCATCCGAATTGTACATAAAACGAGAGCAATGCACACGACAACAAATTACCTCTTGGCAAATTTGGCTGCTAGTGACTGTGTCACCATTTTGTTGGCTCCACTCTACTTCTATTCTCATTTGCTCAGCCACCAATCTAACGGTTTCGGAAACTTCACTTGCAAGTTTCTTGTTCTCACTTACATTTCAGTAGCGGCTACATCATTTACTCTAACCCTACTTGCCATTGAAAGGTATCATGCTTTATTGAAACCATTTAGAACAGGGCTTCGTTTGAAGAAAGACAACGTTAAGAAGGCCATCATTATAATTTGGATCGCAAGTATTCTCCTCTGCTCTCCAGAATTTTTTATTCAAGAATGGAGCGAGACATTCTCCACCTGCGTTGGTGTGTGGAGCTTTCACATAAATCAAACAAGTAGAGTTTTAATGATTAGATTTTGCATATTCACTTCTTATATTCCGCTGGCAATATTTTTGTATTGCTACGGATCATTGATAAAAGGTTTACACTTTACCAACACGATATGTTCAGCAAATGGTACAGAAGAAGATCGATCTAACAAGAAGAAACTTGTGGTTACATTCATGATGGCAACCGCTGGTTTTGTTATTTGTTATTTGCCGATTCAAGTCTTTTACACATTCGTGGCGTTAGGGGGCGATAAGCACATCAGTTTCAAGTTACACAGCACCCTTTCTGCTCTAGTTACCTTTATTTTCGATTGTAGTTTATGTTTCAATCCTATATTATACGCTTTTCGTAGTACAAGCTTTAGGGATGGTTTTAAACGCATTATGCTTTGTCGCAGAAAACCTTCAGAGTGAGAAATGTGAAGTTACATTATATATCCACAATCACCGACAAAATGAGTTGAGACACTTCGCCCAAAACTGGGCTTTTTTACGTTTTATTAACTTCAAAAGGAGGAAATATAGCTTTCCTCCCCCATCCCCTTCGTGCAATGTTGTGCCCTTGTTCTAGCTACCTATAGAAAACAACAAACACCCCAACTTTGAATGGAGGGGACAGGGGAAGGGTGCGGATTCTTTTGTTCTCCGAAGTTACCCTGTTTAAGTACAATGTCTCAACAATTTTGTCGCCAATTGCATTCATGTCTCCTCCTCGGGTTTATTAAAAACACCAACAATAAAACACCCCTTCTAACAACATCCGAGCTTTGTTTGCTAAAGGGCTTCCCGGGGGGGAGGGGGGGTTGCTTCCTTGTAGTAGGCTAATGGGTATGTGCCGCGCTGGATGGGTCGCAGTTTCATGACTGGATTGATTATTATGAGGTTGCATTTTTATGAGAGTCATTAGAATGGGGTCGCACAGTTTCAGGATTTTGGGGGTCCAAAAATACAGGTATGTAGGGATTTAAAGATAGAACGATTTCCGCCACATTAAGTTTAACAAATGTGTCAGGTCATTTCAGGATGATCAAGTGTAAAGGCTTTATAAGGTGGATGCATAAACAGAAAGTGACAAAGTTTGGGGTCTAAATATGGCCACAGAATAGACTATTTAACAATTATTCCT